TTATAGATTATGATTCGTTCGACGATGTCCAGAGTTAAAAGAAACATTCAAGGTTGTTTAAGTATTCATATTAAGTATGTTCAATCAAATTAAATCAATTGACATAATACTCAACATGATTTAATAAAAAAACACAATAATATAAATAATCAAATATTTCAAAATTTATATTAAAATATAAATGTTTTATTATATAAAATATAATTATAACAGAATAAAAAAATCAGTCAATAAATACATATGAATTGCCCGTTCAGCTCAGTTGGTAGAGCACAAGACTCTTAATCTTGTGGTCGTGAGATCGAGTCCCACGGAAGGTATTTCATAATTTAGAGGTCTCCCACCGAAACTGCTCTCAATTTGATGTTAAGGACAGTATACTATCCTACCTCCCCTTACCCTATTACCTAGGGGAATAAGCTAAATTTTATGTCAATAAATAATATTCCTTTTGCAGCACCGCTGATTCCTTGCCCATGCCCAAAGCTCACCCTCAAAATTTATATCAATTCTGCCATCTGGGGCCTGCCTTCCTGCCATGGGTGGTTGGTCCTAGGGTATATTCGGTTCGGTTTGGTTCGGTTTTTTATCAAAAATTAAACCGAACCGAAATAAACTGATTTTCAATATTTAAACCGAAATCGAATAGTTAAAAAACCGAAAAAATCGAAATCGGTTTTTTTGGTTCGGTTCGGTTTTTTTAAAGGTTCGGGTTTTTCGGTTCGGTTCGGTTCGATTTATCGGTTTTTTAATAAAAAATCACTTGTAACTATAATTTTTTTTTACAAAAATTGCCTATTCGGTTCAATATGGAACAAATGGGTTCCATATGAAAAACCCGAACCGAACCGAATCAAAAAAATGAAGCCTTTAAACCGAACCGAAACCGAATCGTTTAAAGCCAAACCAAACCGAACCGAACCGTTTTTAACACTAACGTTTAAGTTTAACTGCAATTATGTCACTCCGTCGTTAATAGCTTAACGGCACAATGACATTGCATCTTTGTACCGTGACATGGCTCCCTCACCAAAACGATGTCGTTTTGGCATGACTGTAACGCTAAAAACCCAAAACGAGTAGTTTTGTTTGAGAAAATTTAATAAAATTGTGCATTTGAGGGGATTTGAACTCAAGACATTTTGAAATAAAAATTAAAACTTAACCACTATGCCAACTTAAATTTTTAATATAATTATACAAACATAATATACATAACATGAGTCAACATTCCAAAAGTTATTTTCTACAATAACCCATGAAATTATAAAAATTCTAAAAAAATACCTTAAAATCCATAAAATCTCAAAAAATCTTAAATTTTTAAAAATCCCAAAAAAACATTAACTGGTTGTCCCTTGTTCCCATATGTAATGGGGTAAGGGGGAGGTAAGATAGTAGGTTGTCCCCAACACTAGGTTGAGAGCAGCTTCCGTAGGAGACCTCCGAATTATGAAATACCATCCATGAGACTCGATCCCACGACCTCAAAATTAAGAATCTTATGCTCTACCAACTGAGCTGGATGGTCATTTCCAAAAAAAACATTAACTCTAAATCGTAATCCCTAAAAATCATAAGATTCATTTTTTTTAGAATGATTTTAGGGATTACCAAAAAATCATAAAATCCCTACAAAAAATAAATCTTATGATTTTTAGGAATTATGATTTAGAGTTTATGCTTTTTTTGAAATTTTTAAGAATTTAGGATTTTTTGAGATTTTCTAAAATTTAAGATACTTTTTGAGAAACTTAATAATTTCATGGGTTTTTAGAATGTAAATTTTGGAATTTAAGATGTCATGTCATTGTGCTATTAAGCCATTAATGGTAGAGTGACATAATTGCAGTTAAATTTAAACGTTAGTATTAAAAATAAAAAAATAAAACGTTGGTGGCATAAGCGAGTCCTAGCCTAAATGTGAGTAATATTTGAAGTAGTTTACCCTTTATTTTTTAATTTTGATAAGATCAAAAAAATTGAAAAATATGTAGAATTATATTATAATAATTATCTCTAAATGTAATATATATATTATAATTACCCGAACAGAGTTTTTTTTAATCTTAAACTCAATTTTAGTCCGACTTAATCCCAACTCTCATTCACAAACGTGCACATACCTATCTCAAATCTAAATTAAAAAAAATCTTACCGTATATAATTAATTCAAATTAAAATATATCGAATTTACATATTTTAGTTATATATAATTCTAAGTATAAATCTTAAAACAAACATAAATATTAAAAAAAAAACTTGATCAAATTGTATGGGTGAGAATTGGTGGTGGGCCAATTTCATAAATTAATTTTTTTTGGATTTGTCAAAATGACCAACTAAATCACAATGCGATCGATAATTCGCAACGCGATCTCCGGTATCGCAAATCAGTTTCCAGATTCTACGCGCGAATACTATCTTTTTAGAGAAAATTCTTAAGAAACAAATGCAATACCACCAGTCGTTGCGATTTTGGACTATCGCAACGAATAAATCGCAACGCGAACTTCGACTATCGCAACGAATTTGGAATAAATCGCAACGCGAACTTCGACCACGACCACGACCCGAGACGGACGGCGGCGGCGCGCGAGAGTCCCCCTTGTTCTCTATCACTCAACAAGGAAGTGGGAAAGCCAAGCCTTAAATACCATTCCCAATAGTGTTTCCAATACTATGTGGGATTGAGCATTACCAACACTTGTTCCCAATACTATGTTGGATTGAGCCTTAAATAGTGATATTATTTTTGAATGTTTTGCTTAAAATTGCAATAATCGCGATTGATTGTAGATTGACTTTTAATTATGATATATTTAATCGTATAATACTAATGCAATTGGTTGCTGATTTAGTTGTTTTAAGGTGCATGATTGTTAATTATTTCCTGAATAATCACATTGTATTGGAAACAAGTGTTGGTAATGCTCAATCCCACATAGTATTGGAAACACTATTGGGAATGGTATTTAAGGCTTGGCTTTCCCACTTCCTTGTTGAGTGATAGAGAACAAGGGGGACTCTCGCGCGCCGCCGCCGTCGCCGTCTCGTCTCGGGTCGTGGTAATGGTAATGGTAATGGTAATATGTGTCTTCGACACGTCCGCGCGAATACTATATTTTTAGAGAAAATTCTTGAGAAACAAATGCAATACCACTAGTCGTTGCGATTTTGGACTATCGCAACGAATTTGAAATAAATCGCAACGCGAACTTAGACTATCGCAACGAATTTGGAATAAATCAGACAAGGCTCTAAAAATAAAATAAGGAATTGCAATAATAAAGGAACAGTGGTCTGTGGTAGAAACATCAGACAAGGCTCTTTTGGGGACGCCGTGAAATCAGCTATGAATTTTCATTGTCCATTAATAATATAATGAACAAAAATGAATTCTTTTAACGCTTTTTTATATGACTATGTTTCTAATACGGTGGCAGGGCACTACAATTTGAAACAAAAAGGATAATATATATTTTCAACTTTTTTAACCAATTGATAACATAAACTCTGTAAATGTAATTATTCGATCTCAAGAACTCCAGAAAGAACAACATTTTCTTTTACAGACCACTTAATGTTTAAAAGTTGCATTAGCCTCGATTATATTCAACATCGAATCGAATCATACCTTTAAATGAGAGACAAAACTCTCTTAAAACTGTTTTGTCCATCCTCAAAACTTGGATATAAAACTTATTGAATGAATATCGAACTCCTCACTGGTCAAGGTCCGAACAAACATCGGTTCAAATGAAGTTGTAGGACTAAGCTAATTAAGGTCCACTTGATGGAAAGATAGGAACAATGGCCTCAGCATCCATTGGCCTCATTCTCCTTAATTGCATCCATCACCCTCTCATTGACCAATTATGGAAAATAGCAGCATGGTAATTAGTGCCTCTAAACTAGTTTGTTCATGGATTAGGGGAAATGATCACCTCAGCTTTAATATACGGTTAAAAAAGGTGCTATCGATTTTATTATTATTTAATTAATAAAATCGGTCAAAAATTATTGAAAACATTATTATTTCTACCGATTTTATATTATTGGTGTTTTATTGGTTTTATTATTTTTCTATAACTAAAAAAATGCGCTACCGGTTTTATTATTATTTAAATAATAAAACCGGTAAAAAATTACCGGAAGCATTATTTTTTCTACCGGTTTTGTTATTGTTGGGCACTTTACCGGAAATGTTAAAAAAGCATTGATGTTTTAGGTATAAATAATAATGTTTTGGGTAATTTTTTACATTTTTTTTATTTAAATAATAACAAAACCGATAACGTTTTTTTTAGTTGTATATTAAGGGTGTCGCATTGTAGAAGTTCCCTGGATTAGGTCTAGGATGGATATGAGCCTGAATTTGACGAATTTTGATTTGATTTTATTAGGTCGAGTTTATTTTTTTAATTTGAGTTCAGGTTGAGTTTAATTTTTAGGATGAAAAATATTCGATTAAACTTAAAAATAATATAATTATATCTTATATATTTAGGGACAATTATAATAATATTCATATCTTTCTATATTTCTAATTTGATCTTTATTTTATCGAATAAAATTAAAATATATATTTATTTATCAGATCAAGTCGGATTAGTGTGAATTTATCTCAAACGGTAAGTAGAATGAAATCATCTTAAACTCAGATCAGATTAGATTTCATATGAAGAATATATTTTTTTCGAGTGAGATGAGGTTAATCGTAAACTTGACCTATTCCTGTCCCTGTCCTTGATTGAGTCTAATCATAATTTATATTTTTATATAATATTTAAATTATTTATAATTTTAAGTAAAGATAATTATAATTTATATTCTAAGCATTTGTCAAATACATTTTTGTGTTAAGTAAACTCAGCTCAAGTCTCTGTCAAACTGAAGAATGTTTTCCCTTCCTTTTTAATTTCCCGTGTCTTTTTCTTTATTTAAAAATTGGAGAAAAAGAAATAAAATAAAATGAAGAACACTAAGATACTAAACTGCTGCCCATTACTTCACAGCCTGTAAGCAAAGAAAAAGGCTTGAAAATCCGTGAGAAACCCGATAATTTCAATATAATTCCAATCCTCCCACGTGGGATTCTTCCTTCTCATTCCCCTCAGTAGCTCTCTCTTTGTTCTTCTTCTTCTTCTTCTTCAATCCTTTCTTTCTGTATTATTTTGTTGTTTTCGTCTCCTCCTACGACCGAGCCAAAAAATAAAGAAAACCCAGTTCGAATTCATAGTTGTCCTCTAGTTTTTTTTTCTTCGATATGTGGGAATCAGAGACTGAATCGGTTAGAGGGAGAGAGTATAGCAATGGTGTTCTTAGCTCCAGTAAACATGGCCTCAAAACTGATGGCTTTGAGCTTAGAGGCCAGTCCTGGTATATGTTCATGGAATTCACATATTTTTTAATTTTACTTTTCTGGGATTTTCCTTTTGTTACTGGGGTTGCACTTTGCATGTGAAATACCTTTTTGACCATATTATGTGTGTGTGTGTGTGTTCAAATATCTGAATTTGCTTTTTTTTTCCAGGTATGTTGCTACTGATATTCCAAGTGACCTTCTAGTTCAAGTTGGAGAGATCAATTTTCATTTACACAAGGTATTTGTTGAACTGCTTAAATGGTTTCCTTTCAATTTCTTTGAGTTCTTAAAGCCATATTTTCTCACTGTATTTTCTCTCTCAAATTCTGGGGAAAGTAGTATCCCATGCTTTCCCGTAGTGGAAAAGTGAATAGGCTTATATATGAATCAAACAACCCAGAGTTGAACAAAATTGCTTTTGAAGATCTTCCTGGAGGACCCGAGGCATTCGAGTTAGCAGCCAAATTCTGCTATGGAATCGCCGTCGATTTAACAGCGGAGAACATATCTGGTTTACGATGTTCTGCAGAGTATCTTGAGATGACAGAGGATTTGGAAGAGGGCAATCTGATTTTCAAAACCGAAGCTTTTCTCAGTTACGTGGTGTTATCTTCATGGAGGGACTCGATACTCGTCTTGAAAAGCTGCGAGGAGCTCACGCCGTGGGCGGAGAATCTCCAAGTTGTGAGGAGGTGCAGCGAGTGATAGCTTGGAAGGCTTGCGCCAATCCGAAAGGGATCAAATGGGCGTATACAGGGAAACCAAGTAAGGTTTCGAGCCCGAAATGGAGTGATTTGAAGGAGTGTAGTCCCAGTAGGAGTCAGCCTGTACCTCCTGATTGGTGGTTTGAGGATGTTTCTATCCTCAGGATCGATCACTTTGTCAGGGTTGTTACCGCGATCAAGGTGAAGGGAATGCGGTTCGAATTGATCGGGGCGTCGATAATGCATTACGCGGCAAAATGGCTTCGGGTTTGATAAAAGATGGTCAGGGTCAGGGGCCAGCAGATGATATGATGAGCATTAGCAGCAATAGTAATAGCAGTTGCGGAAGCAGTAGTTGGAAAGGTGGACTTCATATGATTGTAGCTGGAACAAAGGATGAAACTCCTTCGATTCAGGCCAAAGATCAACGGATGATCATCGAGAGTCTGATTAGCATAATCCCGCCACAGAAAGATAGTGTTTCCTGCAGTTTTCTTCTTCGGCTTTTGCGGATTGCGAACATGCTGAAGGTGGCACCGGCTTTGGTAACCGAATTGGAGAAGCAGGTCGGGATGCAATTCGAACAAGCTACGCTGGCAGATCTTCTCATTCCTTCTTACAATAAAGGTGAAACCATGTACGATGTGGACCTTGTTCAGAGACTGTTGGAACATTTCCTTGTTCAAGAACAGACAGAAAGTTCCAGCCCAAGTAGACCGCCTTTTTCGGACAAACACATGTATGAAGGAACACTGAGGGGAAATAATCCGAATGCCAAGATGAGAGTTGCCAGGCTTGTTGATAGTTATCTTACAGAGGTTTCGAGAGATCGAAACCTGTCGCTAACGAAGTTTCAGGTACTCGCTGAAGCTTTGCCCGAGTCTGCAAGGACCTGCGATGATGGTCTTTATCGAGCTATTGATTCATATCTTAAGGTAATCTCCTCATTCCTATTGCATATGGTAATATCATCGAGATCATATGATTGCTTGAGGCAATGTAGGTAGTGATATCAATGTAAAATTTTGACAATGGTTCATCGAATTGATAGCATTGAAGGAAGCTTCCTTTCTCAAATCCGCACTTAGTGTCTCAGCAATAGTTTCGGAGTTTCATCCAACAGTTTTGTTTTAAGATTGTGATGAGTCCATGGATTCAACATGAATTTATTCTCATTTGTGGGTTAACAATATTCAATCGCAGGCTCACCCGACACTCTCTGAGCATGAAAGGAAGCGACTCTGCCGTGTAATGGACTGCCAAAAGCTCTCGATCGATGCCTGCCTGCATGCTGCTCAAAACGAACGGCTCCCTCTGCGGATTGTCGTTCAAGTTCTCTTCTCAGAGCAAGTGAAAATAAGTAATGCATTGTCCAACAGCACACTCAAAGATCCTGCAGAAACTCAATACCAGCCATTGATACCGAACCACAAGACATTACTTGAAACTACCCCGCAATCTTTCCAAGAAGGATGGTCGGCCGCCAAGAAGGACATTAACACACTCAAATTTGAGCTCGAGAGCGTCAAGGCCAAGTACCTCGAGCTCCAAAACGACATGGAGAACTTGCAACGACAATTCGATAAGATGTCGAAGCAGAAACAAACATCCGCGTGGACCACTGGATGGAAGAAACTTAGCAAACTCACCAAGATGACTACCGTAGAAAACCACGACATCGGACCTCAAATGTCGACCGCAACAGAACAGACTAGAAAGACACCGAGAAGATGGCGAAACTCGATTTCGTAAAGAAGGGTGCCCTAAAAGTTAACTCTACATGTTCATCCTATTTTGTTTAATTTTTTTTTCATGTTTTGCAGTAATTACCACGACAAATAAAAGAAAAACCACCATGAAACAATAACTTGATATTGTCATTCAAAATTTGTTCAGTGTTTGTGTGTGAATCCACCGATTTGGTCAGTGTGACCGATCCATTGTTATCTAATATCATTATCTCTTGCGATTTCGAATTAATATACACATTTCGAAATGGTATAATTTCGAAATTCATCCTTAACATTTGTTTAAATAATCATTCGACTAACTATTTTCATCCTATCCGTGTTCCGGATAACGTTCAATTAATCATACGAACAATCAAACAGCAATGATTCTTTCTTCATGCAGGGATAAGGATAGGAAGTGTCAATAATTTAGTCATCCCTATGATAGAGATAAAGGATATGGTACAAAATTAGACCAACACCAGAATATCACACATGTGAGTAGTTCAAGGCCAACAAAACAACTAAGCCCCACCATCAAAATGAATTTGAATAGAACACGCCTAACTTTGTATGAAATTCTCTCGATTCTTTTTCCCGATTAATTAGAGATTTATCAAAATAATTTAATTTTGTATTCTTAAAATTTTATAATTCCGTAATTTTAAAATTTAATATAACTTTCTAAAAGTTTATACTGCTAATATAAACATACGTACATTATCGTAACTAACATCATTGTTTAATGAAAAAATTATGGATATTAAAAATTTGTTTTTAATACACGTATAAATATAATCAAAATTAATTATTGTATTATAAATTTAAATACGAAAATTCAAAGTTTCGAAATATTTATTTTTCATATAAAAAAAAACCTTTCTTTCATAAACATGCAAGCGAACATGGAATGGATATGACAACAAGAATGAGAGTGAACAACAATTTTGTCTAACTCAATAATGTGACTTGATATATTGGTCTTTCGAACTTTATAAAATTTTACTCTTTATATTTATTTACGTATTTGTTAATAATACTAATTAGTGTATCATTTATTTTTTTTCGTTTTTATTGATCATCGACGATACTAATTTTAATATTAATTGTTAACTGTCGGTATTGATTTTTAATAAATATGTCTAATATGTCATATTTTCATTTACCTATATGACATGATTTTTCTGCCTGTTGACATGTTTTTCGGTCGTTTAGCATTTTTTAATTTATCTTTTTCTAAGGATTGATTTGACATCACCACGACTAATTAACATTACTCTTATATGATATCTTGTTGATTTTCCCTTCTTTGGACGTTCGATTGGATTTGGATACTCGACTTGCGTTCGTAGATAACTTTTCACGTCGTTTGAGTCTAATTTGCGGTTTATCGGTGGTATTTCAGTAACCTAATTTTCTTTTGTGGTTCGTTTGCCGATGCAATCAGATCTATTTATATCGATCTTTGTTTGAATTTCTTAGTCATGTTTTTAATATTTCCTTGTATGGTCCTTATTTGATCTTAAGTTGCTAGTTTTGTTCCAATGATTTAGAAATTGTCCTAATTACGTGTTTAATTGACGATTGTAATTGTTAATCTTCGTTGTAATTTATGATATTTCTTATTTGAATAGAATTATTGACTTCTATAAAAAAAAATAACTATGAGTAACGAGGAATAAACAATTATAGAATAATAATTTATAAATTTATAAATAAAATTAAAAATGACTTATGAGAATATCTCAAGTCTTAAAATCTTAAATACATATATATAATTATACGAACACAGTAACTCTAAGTGAATTAAATTTTATCAAATTATTAAAATAATTATTATATTTATTACTTAATAATTTGATAAATTTAGTAATTCTTTTATAATTTTTAAAAACATTATAATTAAAACAAATATACAAGCATATATTAATGACTTCCAGCGGTATTTTACCCTAATATAAAATATATAGAGATAAATGTATACAAAGATAGACCTAGAGGAGGATGAGTGAGGGTAGTCATTCCTTGTAAAACAAATTCTAAATATTTTTATATTTTCTAGTGAAAATATATTTTCATACCCGAAAACAAAGGCTAGGCTATCTAACCCTACAGTTTTAGGTAATGAGAAATAAAAGAAACGATGCATTGAACCAACAAAGGGATAACTATGGATTAGGTTGGATTAATTTTTATTTATTTAAATTTGATTGGAGCGTAATATTTATAATTTGATCTAATTTGAGGTGAGATAAATCATTAAGAAATCAACACCCATAATCAAGGCAAAAGTTCCCATATAATGCTACACGGAATTTTTAATTTCCAAACTAAAGTGTTCATCCGATTAATTCCTCAAATGAGGTGTTTTCTACAATAAATTTGAGATCTCTCGGCGTCTTCAGGGTTAACCAGATTTTTTGGTGGGATCTCCCGGTGTCTTCAGGGTGTTGGATTGATTGTGTTTTCTACGGTAGATTTGGGATTTCTCGGCGTCTTCAGGGTGAACCAGATTTTTTTTACTCTTGCTTGGATCTCTAGGCGTCTTTAGTTGAAATCCATGAAAAAATTTGACATTTTTACACAAATATCACATTAACATAAATTAATTACTTGTTAGGCACTGTTTAAGAATATTTTACAAATCAAGCAAATTTTTAAATACTTTCTATAAAATTAATCATATTTTGTTAGTATTTTATTTAATTATTTAATTATTTTATTTAATTATTTAATTTTTTTGCAGTTATAAAATGGAAAGTGGTCATTGAATAATTATATTCGGATTTTTCGACTTTTAAACTTTTCTCTCGGCTATAAATACGCTCTCAACACGTGGATATCTATACTGAAACGACGACATTCTTCTAGTTTAGAGGATTGATGTGAATGTTTACAGGTTGAGAGCATATTTACAGCCGAGAGAAAAGTTTAGTCGAGAAATAAGAATATAATTATTCAAGGACCACTTTCTATTTTATAACTGCAAAAAAATAAAATAAAATAATAAAATAATTAATACAAAATATGATTAAATTTATAGAAAGTATTTAAAAATTTGCTAGATCCGTAAAATATTCTTAAACAGTACTTAACAAGTAATTAATTTATGTTAATGTGATATTTGTGTAAAAAGCCAAATTTTTTCATGGATTCAATTAAAGACGCCTAGAGATCCCAATAAACAATTCAAAAAATTGATTAACCCTGAAGACGCCGAGAGATCTCAAATTTACTGTAAAAAACACTCCATTTGAGGAATTAATCGAATAAACACTTTAGTTTGGGAATTAAAAATTCCCTGTAGCATTATATGGAAACTTTGGCCAATAAATCAACCCACGACTTAATTTAAATAAACAAAAATTATTTTCACTTTATTCTTTTAAATAAAAATCAACGCTCGATCTGATATAAATATAAACATTTTCATTTTCAGTAGATTTAGTTTGATATATTTGTTATTTAGTTTGTTTTTAAATTGTTTAATAACGTGACAAGAGATAATATTCATAATTATTAATAGGGCGGTTTTGTAAAAGAATTGTGATTATATTATAATATTCTGAACCAAATCTGATATTATAAATTGATTGAAGTAAAGGGTAAATTCATCGACTTTAATACCATTAAAATATACAGATAAAATAATCGCTAGACGGTTATAGATTTAGTTTTGTAAATTTTATCTATTTTTCCCATAATTTTCCTTTTTTTTAATTAAATTATATTATAAATATAGTTTTGTTTATTTATTTTTTTTAATTAAATGATATTAGAATATGTAATTCAAAATTTTGAATATTTAAATTTTTGTATATATTTTTTTAAATTAATAATTTCCAACACTAAAGAAATCGTGAACAAATATTATACTTTCACACAAACCACTGAAAACGACAGTACAACAAACAGTCATGGTTTGGAGATCAAGCTCAACCAGTCATGGCTCCAATTATTAATACAAAAACATCATCAAATTACACAACAAAAACCAGACACATCATAAACACGTTCTACAAGGACCAGACACTTAAGAACAACTCACGTGAAGGGGGGGGGGGAGAGCCAGATTCTTTCGCTAAGGAAAACCAGACACCATGGGAAGTTTGTCTTCATACTTGTAGGGGAAGATTGAAAGAAAATATCAAACATGATGTGTTGTTCTCAAGGTAATAAAAGAGACGGGAACGGGATCGGGTAGCGGGACACAGTTCCACCTAACGCGCATGCACTATACTACATCCATGGCCATGGGGGGGGGGGGGCTTGTTTTTACAGCACACACCACACTACTAGCAGCTTCTTCCCCCATGCGTTCAAAGCATCGGTGACTTGCTTTTACTATCAAACACAATCATTTCAGGTCAACAAACAGAACCCTAAACCTACTTTAATCAAAATAGCAAATAGCATAGCTTGCCCCCCCCCCACCTCTTTAAGGCTCCTTGAGAAAGTAAAAAAGATGACAAAACGGGTCGGCCCCATGGAAGAAAAGGCGTGTTTAGTGATTTCAAATTCATCAATCATTCGAGCTGAGACTTTGGTTATTTTCAGCCATCTTTTCCCACCACATTGTGCAGTTGGCATACTTACAAAGGAAGGAGTGCAAACCTAGTACTGGTTCACTCCTAAAGTTTCGGCTTCGACCTTTAAGGACTTCAAGTAGTCTATAGAGTCATCGAGGACCAACAACGGGTTCTTTCCTTTAGCACCAGGTATTATGCCTTCCAGGATTTTTAGCGTCGTGCGAATCTTATCCTTTACCAACTGTTCATTATGCAAAGTTTCCTCTTCGTGATTCGGTCCAATGGCATAGCTTGACTCTGCATCACTATCATACTCGTGAGAGCCTTCATCCACAATTATCGGTTGCTTATTCCCATCATTCAAAAGCTTTTGCCTTTTGTTTGAACCATTAGAACTGGCAACTTGTTCCATTACATCATAATCATGATCTTGATCCTCATAGTTTCGCTTAATTCCAATCGGAGAGTGAGCCGTGCTCGTTACATCATCATCGTCGTCATCATCACCATAATCATCATCATCATCTTCTTCATCAGAGTAAAGCAAAGCATTAAGTTCTTCCGTATCTTCATGCATCTCACTCTCGTCGGCACCCAAATGGTTCTCATCGTATTCCTCCTGTAAAGCTGGTGGGGTCGGAATGAGACTATCTGTTTTAACCGCTTGCCCTTCATGGAAATCAAGAGAAGAAGCTACCTCAGTGGTGGCAGTCATTTCATACTTGTATGGAGGTCGAAAAAGGCCATAAATTAACCTTGTCTGACTGCCCGACTGATCAAAAATTACCAGCCCTTTCTGCGATGAGCCAGGGACCAAATTAGCTGTAGCCCTCCCCCGTGCCCATTAGTAAACATGAATTTCTGTTCATTGAGATATGAACCAGAAGAGGGCAATGAAGTCGGGAAACTGGGATAGAACAGCTGAAGAAACTCGTGGGGATTATACTTTTGTTCCGCTTTTAGTACAGAAATATCAGCCGGACCTGGCATTGCAATATTTGCAGGAAGCAAAAGTGTGCCATGATCTTTACAGGGAACCGCAGAACCCGGTTTTGATATACTCGCAGGAAGCATGCGACTGCCAGGATTTATATATGCAGGCAAGCATTCTGGCTGCCTGGGGTCTAATGATGCGTTCATGCAACGTAAGTCGGGCAGTTGCCAAGAAGAATGCTGAGGGAAAAGACAAGAATTGTTGGTCCGAACCATACAACTAGAACACTCCTGCGGATCACAAAAAGAAACGGCTTTTTTATCACATGAAAACGGAACAATAAATTAATAACAACGAAAAACAAGATGTGGTTAGTGGTATCAACATACCAGGTAATGGACAATGCTCAATCCCGTATATTAAACTTTTAAATGCTTTTTTAACGAACAAATTTTGAACAGAACAACTTATAAATTCCAGCTTGATAATACACAACGGAAATGGAATCAATCTACGTAACGGGCTTAAGTAAATGACGGAAGTACTCAGCCTGCGAGAACAGCAAAATTGGCAAGACATCAATTTAAACATGCCATTCATAAAAAATACCAATACAAAGATTTAAAAGAAAATGAAACTAAAATTTAAACTAACCTGACAATCCTCCATTGGTTGAAAGCATGCAATTACTCTAACTACAATCGTTGGTTTTCCGGCAATTCCATTTTCATGTTTTAATGCTCTAAACCTTGTTTGACTAGCTGCTTGGCACACCATAACTACGTATTTCTCCTTGGATTAATCACTCCTACCGATATAGGATGAGAACAGAAACAAATACCCAGATAACAAAGCAACCAAATTCACCCAAGGTGCAATATAAATAAGATATATCTATCTGGTACTAAAGAAACTGTTTGAAAGCAAGAAACTGGCTGAAGGAGCTCGAATTAGGACTAGTATTTTAACTTTTTGATATCTCTAACTGATCCTATATTGATCACAAAAGAAGAAGTAAAAGTGGGTGGATCCCATGGATGGCTGAGCAAAAGAACAGCTAGCTGATATAAAACAAAAGTAAAGCGTAGAAGACAGATTTTACAAAATAACTCTGCAGTATAAATTCAAGCGCACAACTCTGCGAAAGAAACTGAACCAAGGCATGCTGTTTCTCTTCTTTGTTTCACTGAGTTATCCACAGCTTTATGTAAAGCCAGATATTTTTCTGCAACAAGAAAGGGTTTCTCATCATGACCCCAGAGAAGGGAAAAACATAGGAAACTAATAAAGAAATCAAAACAGGATAATCCGCTAGTTCAAAGAGGTATATCAACAAACCATGATTGATGCATTTTCTCTCTTAGAAAATATGCTAACTCTTCTTCTTCTCTAAAGTATTTATGTTCGACTCGAGCCGGACATGGTGCCGGGTTGTAATTCTCCACATATGTGGAAAACTTTCGAACACCAACACCCTGCGTCAGATATAGATATCTATATCAGACACTTCCACCACTAACATAGCTTGGAAATGTTGACAAAAAGAATTAAACTTCATTTCTTTCTCTTCATTCCTCCTATGAACAGTAACAATCATTAATATATTTTGGTTTTTGCTTCCCTCAACCAATATATGCATCAAGCAACATCTGATCCTTAAATCTATATTAAAACAAACAAACCTACATGGAAGAACAAGACCCTTTAAAACCCAGAAATTATACAGGAAACCCAAACCCTTTTTTCATTTTCTCGGTAAACAAACAGGGACAAAGCAACCCCATCAAGGTTTAAGGCAAAGAAACAACATACAAAAACCTGCAAAATGGAAAGATCTTTGAATATAGAAACTTACAGGAAGAAAATCCCAAGCTTGCTATGGTGGGGTCCAAGGGACCAAAAGGATGAGCTGAAGACAGAACCTTAAAACTATGAGAAAAGAAACAGAAGACAACAGTTAAACTCAAAAAGAGAGAAAGGTGAATGTGTCTAAAAGAGGTGGGTGAGTAAAGAGATAGTGAGAATATATAGATGGTTGGGATGCCCATTTTACCCTCTCTTTCTTTCACCCTCCAATTATTAATTGCCGGACTTTTTTTTTACTGTTTTAGGTACAGTAGTTTTACCCATTTTAGTGGTTAGAATAAAGAAGTCATAACTTTTCAGTCCTTGAATTTGATAATTTTTCTATTTAGTCATTAATCTATTGTTTTATAGGGATAATTATAGATCGGATCAAGTTTTTGACCCACTCAAATCCGATCTAAAAATTAAATCCCTTCATTTACACCCAACTCGATTCATCATACTCTAAATATATATACATACATTTTTATTTTAAACTAAATTCGACCTAACTTAATTACGTCATCAAAATATAGAGACTCAAACTCAAATTTTTAAAATGAAGAATTCACTCACCGAATCGTGTTAGATCAAAACTCCCGAATATGTGTGAAATGACCATCCCTAATTGTTTAGCTAAATGGTAATAGCAAGAATGGGAGAGACAAAAACATGTGAGATTCACTCATTAACAATCTAATCCACTCATTAGCAATCTAATCAGGTGATTACCCAATCCAAATGCAACCGAGTAATGAGTAAAGGAGGCATGATCCCACAATGGATAATGACTTCGTGGGACATTTTAGAGCATTGTCCACCCAGGATTCAATCATGTATTGCAATTACCTCTTTTTGCACACCACCAACCATCATATTTCTACTCTCATTATAATCCCCGTGCATTTAACCTCTAACCAACGTATACATATGTATAATTAAATTGAATTTTGGCAATGACTACCTTTAATTTTTTTTAAGGTGGTAACGATTCATCCCTTTTAATTTAGACAGAGAATTATTAATTATAATGATTAAAAAGGATGACTAAGGAAATTCTCGAAGGGTAAAAAAATTTATTTATTTTTTTTAAAAAAAGTTCGGGGAAAGAGAACGAGGAAGAAGAAAATCCTCCTAATGAGAAAATCATTTTCCTATTATACGTTTTATTCTTGTAATTCTGGACACTACATGACAGTTATTTATATGAGACACGAGAAGTTCATTCCCCTAACACAAAATTTTACGCCCATCCTTGATTGAAACTTATTTCTTAATCCCATTATCTAGTTTTGTCTTCAATCCAATCTACACTTTCTATTAGGTGGTGAGATAGTTGCCAGTTGTTGCCACTAATCATATGATGAAATATATTTTAGGATGAGATTTTTCGAGATAAATCGATGTTTCGAAAAATCCTATATCATAATATAAAAGGATTAGATTATGAATGATAAAAAACCCATTTTGTTTCTTCCCTCATTGCTTAGAGTGGAGGGAACAAGCATTGCATTTCACAACAATGCTTCTGTTTATTTATTTATAAATATGTATTCATACTATGATAACGTCTGCCCTTTATTAAGCACTACGAGAAATTAGTCCTTCAAAATAAAATTCTAAAATTAAATGGATTATTGTGATAATATTAGAATAATGAAAAGAATTAACCAAATGCCATCAATAATTAGTATTTTAATTGAAATAATTAAGAGCGTTGAAGCTTTGAATCAATCACTTGGCTATTCCGTGGCTTTACTTTTACAAAAGTACCCATGCTGCAAAAGTATCTTTATTTGTTCATTTATTTACAAAGAAAAATAAATTAATTAGGTTGTGATTTTGGTATGGCAATACTTATGCCATAACATGTGTATACTTTTCTTTTTTAATTTAAGTTTATCATATTTACAATATGTGTAAATAGAAATATATTTTTTTATATAAATAAATGTATTTATAAAATATAATTTAACAAATAATTGCCGGTGAAATAGAAAATTATTTGTTTTTAAATTAGGGCAAATCATCTCAAGTATCATTGAACTTTAAGTTCGTATCCTTTTTATCACCGAACTTTAATTTATTTTAATTTTAACACTGAATTTTAATTTTAAGTTTAATGTAAAAATAGTGGAGTATTTAAATTTAAAAATAATAAAATAAATAGAAATTAAAATGGAAGTCTACAAATTTAACTTTATTGGTGGTGCGGTCGTTGCTCATGCCACCGCTAATTGTGGCGTTGATGGATATTTTCAGAATTCAGAGTATAGTCCCCAAATTCCATTGCTACATTTTATATTTTATTAAAAAAATAATGGAATCATTCCCATCAATCATCATTAGTTTGCCTGTATATCATTTAGACTATTTTTCTAATAATTTAGGTAATATTTATTTACAATTTTTTAATTATTAATATTAAATATAATTGTTTGAATTTAAGATATTTAAAAAGTATTTTTTTAACTTTAAAGATTACTTAATAAGTTTGTTATTCAAACTATTTTTAATATATTTATATTCGTGTTATCATAATTTATGTTTTTATAGTATTTTATTTTTGTAAAATCGTTCCTGAAATTATTTTTTGCAGATGAAGTTTTAAATAATAACTATATAGAGTAAAAAGTTTTATTAAAAATTAAATTCCCTTTATATTAAAAGATTATTACACATAATGATAATAATTTTTTTTTATAAAAATTAAAGAAGTTAATGCACTAACAATGACATTTTAAAAAATGAAAATTATTTTTTCATTGCTCATATATTTTTTTTCAATCTTATTTTGATGATTGAAGTTTATTTTTTTTAATTTAATCACTCAGTTTTTGAATTGTTCATATTTTGGTTACTTTATCGTTAAATGATTAACGACATTATAATATGATAATTTATACTAAAACAACATTGTTTTGGATCCCTATAGAAAACCAAATTTAAACTAAAATGACGTCATTTTAGATCTCTACAACAAACTATTTCCCCTTATTCTCCTTATCTTCTTCTTCTTCTTCTCTCCCTCCACTTGAACTAATCTCATATTTTGGTCACTGTTTCGATTGTTGTTATGACCACCATAAATCACCATCGTTAGAAGCTGATGAGTTTTAAAATTTCTCACCAAACTTGTCTTGCCATTCTGAACGCAAATATGATATCCGATTAACTAAAAAACACCCTAAGCTCCATGAATCTTCTGTCTAAAAACTTCAATTCGTCGTACGCCATTGTCTAACATCACTTCCAACCAACAATAATTGTGTTCAACCCTATCTTTTCTTCCTCTACAAGTGTTTCAATTTAGTTTCTTATGGAAACTTCACAAAAATCTCAAAAATTCTCTCAAACTTTTAGCCTTTTCCTTTAGCGATCTCAACATCAACCCATCGTATCACCATAGTTCAAGATGCATTGTTCTCCTCAACGATGTCTACCTTTTCACCATTGAGATTCTCCATCCGACCACTAGAGCATTAAGGGTAAAAAAGTATGATTTAGGATAAAAAATGGTTATAGGGTTTGATTGTGAATTGTGGTTTAGTTTAGATTTATGGATTCAAGGTAAAATTGAGGTTGAATTTGAACTCAGGATATCAAAATAGGCCAATTTGAAAGTTTTAAGTCCAATGGTCGCTGACGATAGTAGTCAACGCAATGATCGATCTAAAAAATTAATAAAAAATTTCAAGTCAGCACACAATTAAATAGATAAGCAGTCAAGTGGCTAAAACAGAAGTAGTTTGAAACTTTAACTATTAAATTAAAAAATTTAAACTATAGTAACCGAGATATGGGAGTGAAAACAAAGTTCAGTGATTATTTATGTAATTTACCCTTAAAGAAACCTTGAATTGCACTAACGAAACGCTGCTTTGATTGATTTGCTGGACATTTGGGTTTTCCTTCACATGTGGAGCCGTATTATTAAGATGTGCAAAATGATTGTGGCAACTGCCATTTATCTCCAGCCACTTTCTTCTTCCTTCCATTCTCCAAAATAACTTCGCCGATTGAATCCCTCCGACTAACAGTCAAGGCTTCAGCCATCAAATGGTAGACCTTAGCTTTAAAGTTGAACGCCACCAATCAGTTACCTCTCAAGAAAGACGTAAAATTTTATGGTAAGGAGTAAACTTTTAATTTAAAAAGCCCAGGTTTCTCCTTTTTACATGTTGTCATCCAGAAATGGATTTTTTATTTAGGTAAATTACATATACAATGGGGTTTCTTTTATGTTTATCCTAAAAAAGAATTAAAATTAATACATTAATTAATTTCAAAAACTATTTGTAATTGTAAAACCAATGTCACAAATAGCACCACCGTGAATGCGTTGAGATCGTAGAGATGAACCCGTTATACAATGCCATTGGTCCCTCCGCTCTCACTGTCTTCAAAGCACAATCCACGGCATCTGAGTACGGCGGCTCTGCCCTATGTACCACCTTCATGTTCATCACCCTAGTCTTTATCATGTCAATAGGGTTCGATGGCACAGCCGCCATGAACCCCACCGCGAAGCTGGCGGTCACGTGAGTTCCGATTCCATCACCCATCACACTTTTCTCTATTATCATCTCCTTCACCCGATCGTGCGTTGCGAGTCGCGATGTGGTGACGATCATTACACGGTTCACCGTGAGCGTCGAACCCCGCCATAAGCTGCCAACGCCTTCTTGTTTCGTCATTTGACCGAAAACCCAATTCTTCATTCTGGTACAATCAACAAGGCGCTCAAAGCAAAAGCAAGAACACCCTACAAAATAATACCCCAGCTAACACAGAGGCTCCTATGCATATCATCTCTTTTATCTATACTCTTATAAACAAGTTTAGCCCCTACAATCTGACAAATATTATCAAGAATCACCTACCAATCTCTAGTAAGGCTCACAAATTGTCCGTCATTCCTCTCTTCCCAAACACAATAAATAATAGCATTCCTAGCTATCCTAAGGATAAAAGAAATTAAAGACTTACCCTTAAGATATAATGAAGCCCACTCCAATTCCTCCTCCCAACTCATTGCATTCCTGGGGAGATTACACATAGTCAAAACGTTCTTCCAAATTCGGCGAGCAAAGTAACATTAAAAAATAGATGATTCCTATTTTCCAGGTTACCACAGAAGACACAATTATCGTCCACAACACTCTCCATACGCAAGAGCCTCTCAATGGTGGGAAGCCACCCAAGAATGGTCATCCACCTGATGATGGAGTGCTTGGAATATGCAGAGAAAACCACAAAGTCTTATGCCATCCAACCTTAGGCCCCTCGAATAGAATCCCAAATTCAACATGCAGTAACACTATTGAGACAAGGAGCATCAATGTAGAGACCCTGGGCTTCACCTCTTGATGACAGCTTGAGACAAAACAAGCTTCCTACACCAATAATTGAAAATGCTAAACAAAACAGACCTAATCAACTGAAGCTTGCCCGCATAACTAAGGTGTCTATTCTCCCAACACCCCAACTTACTCTTAATTTTATCAATTAGAGGAGAGCAATCCTTTTTCATTCGCAACAGCCCTATCAAGCGACTTCGATAGGACATTCATAGCGAGAATGAATAAAAGAGGAGATAGGGAGCTAGTGAAAAAACCAACCAGATTTTCATTAAAAGAACCAAAATCTTGAGCCAGTGAAGCATACTTGGATCCACTCTCTGAACAGCACAGGCAAGCCTAAAGCTTCAAAAATCCGAAGCTCAAAACTCAAACTCAAAGATTCAAAAGTATTCCTTAGATCTATTTTCAACACACACCTTGGAGATAGCGATCTCCTTGCGTACCCCTTAACCAGCTCTTGAGCTAGTAGGGTATTATCCACTATGTCACGACCATGAACAAAAGTTGTCTGATTCATAGTTATCTTGTTAGGAAATACACTAGCAAGCCTGCCAACAATAATCTTGGTGATGGTTTTGTAGACACTAAATTTTGTCTGGGATATTTTACTTTTATTTTAATTTACCATTTCTTATTACTTATCGAATATTCGCAATTTTTAATTAGTTTTATTATTATTAGTGCCATAAGTAAATTTAATTAAATATATGTATAGGAGTTAGTGATATTTATTATATATATATATGTGTGTGTATATATATATATATTCTATTATCATTATTTATAAATATACTAGAATATATGTATATATATATAAAGGTTTCGGGTTAGGTACAATATATTATATAGTTATTAAATATAAAAACATAGGAAGTGATACATTAAATTAAAATGTTAACATCTATTTATTTTTTTATGTCCATTACAAATTAAACCCAAAAGTACAAACCAAACATTACAAGGCCCAGAAGCTAAAGATCCAAATCTAAGCCCAGATTCTAAGTAGGGTTGCCCGAAAACCCTAGCTACTCCTTCATCTAACGCCGCCAACGTCTTGACCGTTGGATCTGGTGACGGTCTGACGGCTCGATTTCATCCATAATGAAAGCTTTGGGTCAAACCCTAATGCGCATCCCACTTTGGCGTTCTCCAGCCGCCACGCACTCACCAACTGGTCCCCACGACACCTCCATCGTCCGTGCGCCTCTGCCACTGTCATAACAGAGGATGAACGCCCTCAATGGCAGAGGCCTCCGTGCGCTAAAGGACATAAAATGCTGTCAAAAAACGACTCATCTCCCATGCAAGAACAAAAACAAAAGAAAAAAAAATATTACAAGGAGCCTTGTTTCGGTTGAGACAAAAGGGAGAGCAAGCAAAAAAGGGAGATTTTCTCTCATATAACAGTAGCTAATACTAGTGGTGGGCAAATCCGGGTACCTAGATTTTTGGGTACTCGATTTTTGGGTATTCGGAATTTTTGGATCGACGATTTTTCGGCCCGTGTCTCGACCCGAATATTACGGGTATTCGGTAATCGGGTACTCGAATTTTGTGGGTACCCGATACTTGGTTTTTAATTTTTTATTTTTAAATTATTAATTTAAAAAATATATACACAAATTTAAATGTTCGAAACTTCGAATTACATACTCTAATATCCGAACATAAAATTTAAAAGTTCAAAATATAAAATATAATAATCCATAATATAAATAATTCATTATATTTTATATATATATAAAAAAATAAAAAAAAATAAAAACTAACCGGGTACCCAGTTACCCGGTACCCGAAAAAACTAGATTTTGTGACCCGGACTCAACCCGATCGAATAATTTTTTAGATTCGGGTCGACGAATCAACTCAACCGAATTGGTTAATTTTGCACACGGCTAGTTAAAACCCATATCAAACGACAGCAACCGATTTCAGAACCAAAAAGAGAGAAAAACGAGAGCATTTAATCCGAGAAAAAACCATCACCATACACAACCACTTTTTTTAGCAACCAACGACCGAAAATCAAAAACAAGAATTAATGTTTTATACATAGTCTATTTTAATATGTGATCTAAATATAATTAAAATAAGAGTATAAGAATTAATGTTTTATACATATTCTATTTTAATTATATTATATTTAAAATTTTAATTAATTTATAATTATACATTTAATATTTATAATTTAACATTTTATAAATTATCGGTTTTCGTTGAGTTTAGCAATATCATCCATTAAAAAAACGATATAACTGGACCGAAGCTCAATTAACCATAAGGGGGTGTTTGGATTAAGGAATATGAGAATGAAATCCACATTTTTATATTTGGTTGGTCGGAAATCTCATTTCCGGTAATATTTTATTACTAATAGTAGATTTTTTTTGGGTATATTACCGGAAATATCATTACCTCTCTTTCCTTAGATATTGTTGGATTATCGGCGTTTGGACTAAAATGCCCTTAATTTTTTTTTCAAAAATATCTTTCTTCTGTCATTGAATAATAAAAATTCTACGAAAGTTAAATTACAAATTTATCCTTAAACTATTTTAGATTTACAAAAAAATCTATAATTAAAATTTTATATGAAATTCAGGAATTAAAATAAAATTTTACTCTTTCATTAAACATTTTTATATTTTTAATTTTATAAAAAATATATATATAAATTTTATGAATTTAATTTTTTTTAAAGAAAATATATAAATATTTTCTAACTTGTTAAAAAATATATATATATAATAAGGACAATTTGGTCAAATATACATTCTAATAATCTTTTATTCATTTAATCAAACACGGTAATCTTATATTCCTGTTAAACTAACCAAACATAAAATACAACATTCACAATAATCTTATTCTATAATAATATTACATTATCACTTGTAACCTTACATTTCGTGAACTAAACGCACATGAGAGTTAAATGGAAAAACAGTAGACTTGTCCTTGCAGAGAAAAGTAGAAAACACAACACTTGTCGATGGGTACCCCACTCCTGCAGGTTATTTCCTATCCGGTCCTTTTCTTCTTTCATTGTATTTTTGTTGTTACCTTTGTTTACATTAATCAAATTATGATACAAAATAAGATTATACTTTTTTATACATATTAAAATTTAATCCAAAAAATATTATTTTTCTTAAAAACAATATTAACAACAATATATTAACCTTAAATCAAACTTAACTTCTACTTATCTTAAAAAAAAGTTGTATCTTAAAAAATAAGGTGATTTCCACGTTAATAAAAAAACCACATCATCGTACTATTCCTAATCTAATACCCAAGTGATAAAATAAAATAATTCAAAATTGAGTGATCAAATTAAAAAAATTAAACTTCAGTTATCAAAACAAGAATATGATCAAAGTTGAGTGATGAAAAGCATAATTTACCCTGTTTTAAGAGATTAGATATAAATATGATCTTTCAAGCTATTGGAAGATTACTTAAATCATTCCACCCTGAATCCTTATTCTCATGAAAATAATAAACAAAAGAAACATAAAAAAACAAACAATCAACATCAAACACCTGCAAAATAAAGAGATGAACTGGTTTTATTTAAGGGAAAATTACATACAAACTCCCCCACATGGACTCTTAAGCATAAATATTAATAATTAATATTACACATTAACACAAGAAGATGCAGATTTTGCGGCAATGAGTTTGGCCAATGGCTTCCATTGTTAAGCAATTCTCATTCCCACCACTGATGAACCGCAACTCCTCCATCCCTAAGCTTACCATACAAAGCTAAGCATTCCCAATAAGCCCTTTTGCTCTTCTTCCTCTTATGGTTCTTCCTATTCTTCTTCTTCACTTGATCTTGCCATTGATTTTTGCACTCGAAAAACAATTCGTCCACCAAACCGATCACTTTCCTCTCTATCATCTTCTCCACCACTTCGGCTTCGGCTTTCATCATGACGTAATCTTCTTCACCTACATTCTTTGTTAGCCAATCCGAAACGTCGATCCGGTCACTCACTGTTTCGGAACCGTAAACCTCGAATTCTTGGTTCCTTTTGGGATAGTTCTTTTCGAACCATTTCATCACGATGTTCTTATCATCATCGTCGTTGTTGTCGTTAGATTCGACATCGATGAACACTCTACGAGGGTAATGTTCGAGGGAATCGCCTAACAAATCGGGGAGGAAATTGATTTTCTTCGAGTATGCAGCACTTTTTCTTGGTGGCTCATATAAAGCATCCTCTAAGCCTCTCAATGCTGCCTTCTTAGCTTCCATTGTCATATCACAAAGCTTTCTTTTCAATGAAGAATCGAACAAATGGTTCTTGGGACCGAGTTTCTTCATCGCAACAATGGTGGAGCGAAATTTCTTAAGATACACGATTCTATAATCCGATTGCTTTTGATAGCCCGTCGAGATTTCATCACCCAATTGCATTGCAACAATGCCACCAATTTTCACTAATTGATCTACAAACTCGGAATCAGTCGACCCCGAAACGAAAACGAAATCGAACCCTTCATTCGGCAAAGAGCTTTGCGAACCGAAATCAGGTTCGAACACCACATTGATCCCATCATTGTTCATAAACATGGAACCTTCATCATCATCAACATGAACAACATCGATCCCTTCGATGGCAGAGTTCAATATGAGAGCTTTCTGTCCTTTTTTGACAAGACCCTCGTCGGCAAAATCTCGCCAGAGCAAGTTCCAGTACTCCAAACTGAAGGAACCGGAGCTCCGATGAAGCTCCTCCACCGCTGAAGCAGGAGATCCTTTTAAAACGGACCTAATGCAAGGGAATGCGATGATCACCGTCGCTAAAAACAACGAACGCGACAGAACAAGCAAGAACCTCGGATCCGGAAGCTTAATAACCAAAAGGGTGTCCGGATTCAACAAAATCCTCGGACTTTGCGAGTGATTGAGCTGATTGTAGCTGTGGGGATTCGGCCGAGGCGGCCGACCTGCCATCTCCGTCGTTAAATAACCTGATCCGTGTCTGAAAACAAACCCAAAATTGCTTAATTTTCCCTAAATTCAACCGAATTTAGCTAAAGGGTATCTCTCGATGGCATAATTTTCTGGGGGGAAATCCCCAAGAAAAAAAATCGTGGAAAATTACAGAAACAGAGACGAAATCTAAACAACAGCTTAGCAAAATGAAGAACTTTTTCTAGCGAGTGCAAAACCTAGCAGCAGTGTGATTTCCACCCAAGAGAGAAACACGAGTGGGTCGGGCTCTGCAACAGAGGGAAAGCAATGACTTAAACCTCTCAATCTCCATTGTTGTTTCCACTTCTAAAAAACCTTCTTTTTTGGGGGCGTTTTCTTCTTTGTTTAGGTTAGAAGAGTGATGGTCCAGAAGAACCCAGATTCAGGTTTTGGTAACATGGATTATGAATCAAAAGAAAACATGAGAAAAACAAAGTATTGGAGAAGACGGAGATAGAGTGATGACAAGATAGTGGGATTATTTTGTCAGCCATATAAGAGGGGAAAGGTAAAATTGTAAGTAAAGAAGATGGTTCATTCAAATACGGGTTTGATGAGCTGTGAGATGTGCAATCGATCTGTGATCGTCTCCTTAATTTGTCTAATGGTTGAAGGTCGTTGGTTAATTATTTGTGTGGTAAAGATACAAGTAATACCTCCTCTATATAGTCGTGTTTTTGTTTACTATTAAAAGTTAACAATATGATCCCTAGGTATCTATTTTATTGAGTAGGTTAATTATTAAAATTATATAATGATTATTTAATTAATTATATGTTTTATATTTGTCATTTTCTGTTAAAAAATTAAATAAAATAGACTCAACAAAGTAGCTTTATATAGTTGGGGGATCATTTGTGTACTTCGCCAGTATTTTTAAATATGAGTTGTCGTAACCGGTTTTCGTCCGGGCACAAAATTATTTACTTGACGGGAAAAGTGATGTGAATAAATGGTTTTGAAAATAATTTGGGAGTCGCCATCGGCCTTTTGGGTCAGGTAGGTCAAATACCTAAAAAATATCTTTTAAAAGAGTTTTTAAGAAAACATCAATTTAAAAAATAAACTGATCTGCGTTTATAACCAAAAATTCGTTCTTTTTAAATAATAAAAAGGGATTCGTGGTCGATTACGTTTAGGGAAGGATTAGCACCCCTACAACGCCCAAAATTGGTACTTTAATTATAAATTGTCTCTATTATTAAAAATTTTAAAAATTCAAAATATATTTAATTTATAATCCTATTATTTCAAAATTATATAAAAATATTTAAAAATATCGGAAAAGGACTTCTAGGTGCCTTAAGACAGCTCTTTTCTTTGATATTGATAAATATTAATTTAAATTAAATATTTTTTATAATTTTTAATTTTAAAATACCAGAATATGACATCCAGTTGTATTAAGACTGTCCTTTTCTTCGATATTGAAAAATAAATATTAAAATAATTTATTTAAAATAAATATTTATTTATTATATATATTTATGACTACATAATAAAAATATTTAAATATATATAAACAAGTAAAATTAAAAAAATACAATTATAACCATATATTTAAAAGCAATAAAATAAAAAAATACTTAAAATAAAGGACTAAATTATAGTAAATTAAAATTAAAAACCTAATTCATAATTAATCAGAATTATAGGGATTAAACATGCTATTTTCTTATTTAATAATTTAGTGACTAAAATAAACTTATTTAAAATTCGAATATAAGATTAAAATAAATTAAAAATATAAACTAGGGATTAAAATATTATTTATTAAAATTAAGGGATTAAATCTGTTATTTATCCTAAATATATTATTTTAATATAAAGGACTAAAATAAATGAAATTAAAATTAAAAGATCAAATTAAAAGTATTATAAACTCGATTTAGTGACTAAAATGTAAAGTTTACAAATTCTGAGGACTGTGGAAAGGATTTAACTATTATTAATTACACGAATAACCCTTCCCAAAACGACGTCGTTCGGGAAGGCTATTTAAGCCCAAAATCAGCTGGCCCGAAGGGCCAGCTTCATTTCTCCTATCTTCCCTCTCTCTCTCTTTTCTGAGAGAAAGAAATTATCTCGCTTCTCTCTAGAAAAGAGAGAAGCTCTCCGGCCGGCAGTCGCTTGTCGGCGTGGATCCCGCCGCCGGCCACCGTCTTCGGTGGCCGGAATTTTTTTTTTTACATTGAAACGTAGATCGGACCGTCCTAATGACGGTTCCGATGATCTTTTCTTTTTAACAGCTCCCGATCGGAGCAAATCTAAGAAATATACCTTCGGTTTTTCGAAGGTTTTGGTGAGATCCGGTGGTCGGGGCTTCCTCGGTAAGTTTCTCTTCTTCCTTTTTCTTTCTTTTCTTTTTCTTTGCTACGTTGTTGTTGAGATCGTTGGTAGCTTTTTTAGTATTTTGTTTCTCTGTATTTCTCTTCTCTCTGTGTATTTTCTGTCTCTCCTCGTGTTCCTTTGGTCTCTGTTTCTCTCTGTCTTCCTCTTTGCTTGCAGATGGGGTGATGGCTTTATAGCCATCACCGGTGTGGTCATCGGACCGGTCCCAAAAGGGCTCTTCGGTGAGTCACCGATCTATGTGGTGACTCACTGCTAGAGTAGCAACGTGGGTGACCATCTGGGTCTTCTGGAGGCTTCGATGGAGGCGTGGCACTGGCAGCAGAGGTGGCTAGAAGCTGGACCGTTGGCTGAGGCGGCTGGAGGCAGAGGCGGCTGGAGGCGGCTGGACATGGGGCTAGGGTTAGAAAACCCTAACTGAAACCCTAAATGTTTTGGGTTTCAGTTTGATTTGGGCCGGAAATTTGTCTTGTAATTTTTTATTATTATTTATAATATTTAATGTATTTAATAATAATAATAATAATATTTATAATAATTATAATAATAATAATAATAATAATAATAGTAATAAATCAAAATGGGTAAAAAATTAGTATCTTCATGAGTAATATTAAAATAATAATACTAATAATAATTTTTTTAAGAGTCTATATTTAATTCATCAAGTATTTAAAATTTATATTACAATTCTTCAATTTTGAATATATATCTTTTTATTATTATCGCTATCGTTAATTGTTGTTAAAAAAATTGATGTGCTAGATTAAACTAATCTAAAAGAAATTTATATCTTGTCTTTTTCAATTTGATAATCTTCATTCCTCCTTTCATCATCGTTATTTACGTTGTCGTTTATTAGTTTCTTCTAACAAAAATGTCACATAATTTCTCTTGTTCTTCTCTCTCTTTTCTTCGGTTCAAACTCATCAGAAAACCTTATAATCTCCTCAAATCTCAATAAAAAATAAAAGCTAAAAATTTTCAATCTTCCACCATTAGACAGCAGATTAATTTAAAATCGAATTATGTTAATTTTCTAGCCAAACAAAGTCCTCCTACCATTAGAAATGATCGACATCCGTTTCGTTCATTGAAAATTCGTCAACACCAATTTAAAAGAAGATGAAGTTTATGGATTTTAACATGACATGTCAATTTTTTTTTACATAAACAAACGATAATGTTAAAAGCGAATTAAAAATGTTTAATGATTGTAATGTAAGTTTTAAAAGTTTTTTTACCAAAGTGAAAATTTCCTAAAATTTAAAGTATCATACTTTATTATATATGTAAAACATAGGGAGAAAACACAAGAAATTAAACACAACAAACCTCATCTCTTGAAATAACTTTAAATTATAAGCAAACCACTCTCTCTCTCTCTCTCACAGACACACACAAGAACCATTCTCAATGACACATTAACCATAACACATACAATCATATATGAAACACCTCCAAGTTCTCAAGGAGCCTGAGGTGGAGACAAGAACGGAACCGAAGGAAAGCTCGGCATCGGCGGCAAACTGAACCTCGGTGCAGTAGGCAGAAAGTTCGGCAAGCTCGGAAGCGGAGGAAGAACAGTTGCGGGATTAGGCAAAGATGGTTGAGTTCCCGGCAGATTCGGAAGCGTCGGCTGCGGTAGATTCAGGATTGCAGGCAATGGTGGTAGCGTCGGCATCGGCGGCAGTTGCTGGAGATGCCGAGCTGCTAGGCTAACGTCGATGCTTGAGAAGGACAGTGCGACGAGGAAAGCTAGAATGAAAACGTTGGAAGCATCCATTTTTGACGTAAGCGAAGAAGGGTTGAAGAATCAGTGGGAGAAATGAAGTGAAGATTTAAGATTCGTTTCAGGTTTGCATTGAGGAAAATTAGTGTTGTTTAAGGGTATTTATAGCCTGATTTTATTTTATATTTTTGTTTTAAGCTATTCTAGTAGTTAGCTCAGCAGCTACTTATCCATCTTTGATTAAAAAATAGTTAACTGTTGCAGACATCCTCAAGCTGTGACTGGAATTTTAAATTGATCTCAAAACTATAAATTTTTTTAACGAAACCTTCAAAATCTAGTATTGTATCAATTAGGTCCTTCTGTTAGTCTATCTAACTTGGAACATGATTAGAATCAGGGACAAACTAGAATAAAATATTGAGAATGGCTAAATTTCTTTACATCAAAAGAACAAGGATCTATTAAATATTTCAATCTAAAAATTAAAAGAGATAAACATCTTATTTAATTAATACTCAAAATAAAAAGGACTTAAAGGTCATTAAACCCAAAGAATTGAAGCACAAACCCTATCAATCTATTAGTATTTCTATTCTTTAACATATGTTTATAATTTAATTTACTCATTTTAAATATATACCATGTTAGATTCAAAAAAACATTTATTAAATTGACAAATAAACTAATGAGAAAAATTGATTAATATAGTACCATTATTTTAAAGACTCAATTAAAACATTTTATAATTTAGATCAAATTATAGTGTGAATAATAGTTACGGTCGTTTTTTTTATTAAAGTTTCAATTTTTATATATGTTAAATATTTTTTTTATTTTATATTAAAAATTTTCTTTATTTTTAAAATTCTATAAATTCATTTTTTTTATTTTTTATAAGTTAAATTTGTTCTAATATAAAATCCAACATCTATATATGATTAGTTGAGAGATTGTTGTGATTGGCTTGATAAGACATCTAGCTCGTGGTTGATCTAATTGGTCGGTTATCTAATTCTTAGTTAACTAAAAGCCACCTCTAAAGCTATGAGACCACTGGGATTCTTACCCAATTTTAACACGCGCAATTACTGCAATAAAGATACATCACACAAGATTCAAACTAACATTTAATACTTAAATTAATATGAAGGCTTAATTTATAATTAAACTCATTAATTGGTTGACCGCTTGTTGTTATTGGTTTGATACGACATCACCTGAAGCAATTCAACGAAATTAGGACATCTAACTTCTATTTCATCTAATTGGTCGGTTATCCAATGTTAGTTACTTTTAAAGCTACGAGATCACTGGGTTTATTACCCAATTTCCACACTTGCAATTACTACCTTGAGTATTAATATTCGTCTACATATATATATATAACATTTCGTTAAGACAACATCCTTCGTCAATATTTATCTTTTGTACGTTTAAAACGACAACACTCCAAGTTACGTATATGGATGATAATGAATCAGACTTTTAGTCATTTTAACTTAATTAGAGAAGTATATTCTCTACGTCTTGAATTTGATCTGATTAAAGTTTAAAAAAGTCTTACTCAATCTAAAATTCGACTCAAATTTTAAGATAAAAACTCATATTCAATTCGACTCAATATGAAAATTTTTATTTTTATTCGATAAAATAATAATTTAATTGAAAATATATATAACCAGGCAGTGATATATGCACATGTAAGTTAGGCAAATTTGAATTTCTTTCAAGCAGTTACCTATTCTATTGAATGTATCCACTCTAAAATTTTATTTGTGTTCACCCCCATATAAAAATTTTGTATGATCGAGATATATATATATATATATATATATCTACCCTGAAAAATATTTTTTAATCCAATACTGTAAAAAGATATTATATCAATTATAATAATAATAATAATATTATTATTATTATTAAATCGTATTGAATTATAAAATTTTCACCATAAACTCGATCCCACTCCTTTATAGCATAGGCAAAACTGTTGAAGGCAACATACTAAACTTTATATATGTATAATCAAATATCATATTGTTACCAAGTGAATTAAAATTACAATATGCAAACATATTATTACAGCTAAGTACATATTGTTACCAAGTGGATTAAAATTACAACATGCAAACATATTATTACAGCTAAGTAATTATTCCTTGGTATTACAAGGAATAAACATTATTATCTAACGTGGACGATTACGAATCAAGCAAGTTCTACAGAGAACGGAAAATGTCAAAAGCAAAAGATTAAAAGTTGAGATGGATCGAGAAAGTTTTAGCACCAAAATGATCGGTCCTTCACCACGGCTCTGTTTTTTCCATCGGTAATGCTTCGCTTGTAATCCAATGTCCATTTCTCGAACGTACAGTCGACAAAGTCGTAGTATCCGCCGTGCAGAGAAAGCACCCCTTTCTTCACCTTTTCTTCTATCCATGGATAAGTTAGCAGGTTCAACAGTGAGTTGTTGATTGATGCCTGAAAAAAAGAAGAATATCATCGAATCCCGAAGCGGAATACTCGTGTTGGATGGAACATGATCGAACTAAAAGAGAGTAAGAAATACCTTCTCACAGTGTGTGCATTGCTGGTCAAAATCGAGGTTCGAAGCAGTGGCCTTTGTGCTTAGCTTTGCGTTCTTTCCGACGATAACCCAACTTCGGATAAAGCTACTGAAACAAGTGAGTTTATGTAAGTAAGCAATGCATACGGAATTACTTGCTCGTATCTGAAGATGTTAATGGTAGATTAGATTGCTACATAAAAGGTGTTCTTTTTTTAACTAAACCTTGAATCTGCTTCATCTTGCAGGCTCATGAGGGCACGAATGCCGCCACAGCAGCTATGACCGATGATTAAAATGTTTTCAACCTGCAAAAGTGATATCGTTAGATGTCATTATACTTCCAGAGGTGGCATAACACAGAAATATAAAGATTAAAAAACCGTAAAAATGGGGCAGGGAGGGAGATGGGGAGGACAGAATTACCTCGAGCGTATTCACGGCAAACTCCAATGCAGCATTAGTTTCTGTTGGTCCACTCTGCGCAAAACAGAAAAGGAATGAAAGATGAAAAGAGAATTTACAATATCAATTCCCAAGTGCAGATACCGTAGAACTGAAAAGCAAAAAAATTCATTATGTATACCTCAAACGTGGGCACCATATTCGCAACATTGCGAACCGTGAAGGCTTCTCCTGGCTCGAACCCCAAGATGTTAGAAGGGCATACCCTTGAATCTGCACAAGCAATCACCATGAACTGTTCTAGAAATGGTTAGCAAATAACAACCACAATGAATCACTGGAGAAAAAACATCATTACTTTAGGAGCTTGACCCTCGGAGAGTGCTTGATAGTGTTCCGAGTTTTCCCTGCTCAAACATAACATCCGATCAACGGACATTCCAACTTGTAATTCAAAGCTAAAACAACTTGTTCGAGATTTGCAGCTTACATATACTTCTGCCTTTTGAAGCTAAGGAATCCATCTTTCAATTTGTCAAACAACTCACATCCACTTTCCATTTCCACTAAGCTCTCTGGTTTGTCACGAGTTAGTGCCGGAGGCTCTGCCGAGGCCTTCAATCTCACACCTGTGTTGCTCCTACAAATGTCCGGGAAAGACATTTGTGGCAGCATAAAACGGATTTATCAGTCAAACCGAATCAACAAGAAACCATACCGGCATACAGCAGATGAGTTAGAAACAAATCGGAAATCAGCTTATCTCTTAAGAGTCAATCCAGAAACTTGCATTGTAGTCGTAATCTTAAATTTGTATAACTTGTCCTATAACAAATCATCAAACAAGACGAAATCAGAGCTCGAATCAACTCACACGAGATTTTATCGAATCCTTCACTAATTTAACTTAGGCATGAATGAATAACATACAATTGTAGCTTAAGTGACGAAATCATTTGAATCCATTCAGATCCACAACCTTAATCCCCAATCCCCAAATCAATTCTTAACTTAATTGATTAACTTATCAACAATTCAACACCATACCTATGAACATAGAACAATATTAAGCATTCGGAGCTACATATCTCCAAGAAACACAACAAATCTGCGATTTTAAACAATGGGAAAACGATTAAAACAATCCCTAACCTGAAAGTAGTCCGAAATCTAAACCAGGTCGGTTGAATCTCCCCACTTTGGACCCTGGAATCAAAGATCTGCTAACAAAGAAAGTAAACCCAGATTCAAGAACATGCACCTTCAGAATTTAAACGATTCAAGAGAGGGGAAATGGAGATAATGAGTGAAGGAAATTACCTTCGGTGAACTTGATAAAGGGTGTTTTGAAAGAGAGGTAGGTGCGAGAGCTGCCATTGAAATCTGATGGATCTTAAAAAAGCTAAAGAAAAAGATGAGAGAGATCCCTTAAAAGGGTAAAGAAGAGTGCTTTGATGTTGAAAAAAAAAAGAAGGAACTAGAGGAAGAAACAGTGAAGAATTAGCAGAGAGTCATTCAAAGTATATAGCAAACAACAAGGAAAAAGCTTGAGATTGATCCAACTGTCCTAACCTCCAAGAAAGACGGAGAAACCTATGTGAAAATAACTATAGTTGTAGTAATAAATATGAATTAATAAAAAAGTAATGGAAAGCATGTTTTTTCAGATATCACCAAAGACGTTTATTTTTTATAATATTATTCATACTTATTTTATTAATCACAATTATGTGACGGAGAAAACTATGTGAAAATTTAAACTTTTAATTTTAATATTTTAATAAATTTAAAAATTATTTTATAAATTTAATAATCAAAATAATTATTTAGTGCACCTATGACCTACCTTACCCAAAATATCGTTGGATTTGGTACTACTTCCCAATTTGGAACACTACCTGACCGATCCTGACTCTACTGTTTGGATTTACTACTATTTGAATCGGTGAAATATTGACACGTGACAAAAATTATTCACTTATAAATACCTAATTTATTATAAATAATAATATTTTTTTGATTTTGTCATAAGAAATTATGAGTCCTCGATCTTTTAATCAGAAATAGATAAAAAAAAATTATGTCAACAGATGCAAATTTATAAAATTATAAAAATATTTAATTAATAAATATATTTAATTTATATGCAAATTTAAATTTTTTAAAGATATTATTGCACTATTCAATCTATCCTTATGTCTTGAACTAATTAATGCTGGACTTAGTTTACAACTCGACTTCAAAAAACATCCGATTTCTCATTTTAGGAACTAAATTTATTTTATTCTAATTTAATATTTATATTAAAATTTGCATTTTATCTATGTTTATAAAAATAATAATAATACAAACATGTAAGTGACACATTTTGATTATATGTCAATAAATATTTATACTTATAAAGAAAATTGATAGTAAAAAATGTACACATGACATATTTTGATTAGATGTTAATAAATTTTAAAATGATGACATCTGTTTTTTGTATTTTATATTTTTGTTTATTTAATTCTTTTTTCATCTTATCAAATAAAATAGAAACTTCTTTCTTTATTTGTTGTAATTCCGGACTTCGTATTGATTAATTCGGATCGACCTGCGTGGTACACGATATCAAATTACTTACCATTTGAGCTAAAATAAAAACTTCTTTCAATATAAAGAAATAAAATACATTCCATCATATAGAATGAAATGCCTTTTTTATTTTTACTTTTTTTTTCTTCCTTTATATATAAAGAATGGTTAGAATAATTGATGTATTGGCCGCCCAATAAGCATCAACCTTGAGTTTTTAATTTATTGATGGTTATTAATTCTCAATTTATATGTCTCAGTTGTTGATAAATTATTAAAAAAATTACTAAAATGATTAAGAAAATAAATTTAATATTAGTTTAGGGGGTAATTAACTCATTTCCTTACTACACATCCTATTTATATTTCCTTTTTATTTATTTTAATATTTCTTAATATTTTCTTCAAATTTATAAATATTTATATATAATTTCATTAAGATTTATATATAAATTATTAACACGAAAATCATAGAAAATTATAACACTTTAAATACATGGAAACACACAAACACAATATGGATATATACATGTTTTTTTCCAAATTATATTTGAGACCCTTAATTTTTTTTTTTAAAAAAAATAATGTGATTCATGAATTTTTTTACACTCAAGATGATTCTTAAACAGTTAAATTACAAAAAGAAATTAATTTGACTTTTGATCAACACAACCAAACATTGACTGTTATGATATCGACGTGACACTTTACGGTGGATGATACATGATATAAGAATTAAATTATAATTTTTTGATCGAATTTAATGGTCAAATGTTCGAGAATTAATTTAATTTTTTAGAAAAAAAATTAAAAATCGCTGTTATTTTATATAATGATAATAGTTAGTTCATATGAAAATTATTTAGTATGTTACCGTAGATTTGTAATAGCGTGAGACAAATCATTTAAGATAGATAGATATATAAAAAGAAATGATTTATTTATTAAGTGAAATTTTATAATTTTTTTAGATTGTTAAATTAATAAAGTCTGATGACTGTGATTAAAATTTTAAAAAAATTGAGGATAATTCACTTGCTTTTTATAAAAAGTTACTCACGTTAATTTCCACAATTTATTTTCAGTCCTTCAACCTTAATGATTATATATATATATATATATATATATATATATATATATAAAACAAAGATTAATAAATTTTATATTAATTTATAATCATTAGATTAAGAGAGACGGTAATTCAACTTATTAATAAGTGAATTAATCTGTAAAACCCCAACCTAGGACGTGTTGGTCTCAAAACTGTTCATGCATTGCATCCCACGTGGCTGAAATAGCGTGAATTTAGTAACTTTCCGAAAGCTCTGCTCTCTCGTTAATTTCCCGCTAAAGACCTGTTCCTCAACACTAGCAAGAAGAAAACACTTCTGTCTATCTCTCTCAAACATACATACACAGTACAGAAGAACATAATTCAAAAGAAGAAAGCCTGAAATCTCAGAAAACGAAAAACAATAGAGATCAAGTTATTCAGCCATGGATGAATTGAAGAGTACGATGTGATAGTTCTAGGGACCGGCCTTAAGGAATGCATTCTCAGTGGCGTTCTCTCCGTTGATGGACTCAAAGTACATGCCCTTCGATTTAATCAATTTTTCATCACTTTCTTCGTCTCATTTCTATCTTCTGTTTGGTTCGAAAGAAAATATGCAATCTGGGTTTTCCTTTTACGAATCAGTTCTTCGTATTATATTCTACATGTTCTTTTTGCCTATGACAGGTACTGCACATGGATAGGAATGACTATTATGGTGGAGAGTCGACTTCTCTTAATCTTGTGCAGGTCATTGTTCTTTGATGAATGAAACCTTTGGTTTTTTGTCTGACGTTTTCCTTTACTGTACTTCAGAATCTTGTCTTTCTTTCTTTCTTTTGATATGGCGTAGCTTTGGAAACATTTCAAGGGAGATGATAAGCCATCAGAAAAACTGGGAGCAAGCAGGGATTATAATGTTGATATGATGCCCTAGGCATGTATGCATGCATGCATGCATGTATGTACGTACGTAATGAAAATGCTTTCATTGATTGGTTTCACAGTTCATGATGGCCAATGGAAGTTTGGTTCGTATTTTGATCCATACCAATGTCACCAAGTATCTTAACTTCAAGGTTGTGGATGGTAGTTATGTGTACAATAAGAAAAAAGTAAGAGTATTGTATGTATGTATGTATGTATGCATGTATATATCTTAACATTGTTCTATTGCCTGCAACAAGCTAAAGGAATTACCATAACTTATAGGTCTACAAAGTTCCGGCGACCGATGTTGAAGCACTGAAATCACCGATGATGGGGATGTTCGAGAAGCGCCGAGCCAGAAAGTTCTTCATTTATGTGCAAGACTATGATGAAAATGATCCAAAATCTCATGAAAAAATGGACCTGAATAAAGTTACAGCCAGAGAACTTATCTCGTGTGTATCTCATCCTTGTTTCCCTCTACATAGAATGTTTGGGATTTCATTTTCCCTTTTGAGAAGGGGTGTTTTCCCTCTAATTTTATGCTGTTCGAACTCGGGTATCCTACACGGATATGTTAATCTTTAGAGGGCGAATCCTCGTAACAATGTCCGAGTAAATGTTCGACACATGGTGTCGGACATAGGTACCTAAGAATATTCTTACGTATCTGCTCATATTGTAAGCTAATTTTTGCACTGCAGAAAGTATGGGCTTAAAGATGACACAATTGACTTCATTGGTTATGCCTTAGCACTCCATAAGGATGATAGTTACTTAGATCAACCAGCTCTGAGTTTTGTCAAGAGAATGAAGGTAAAAAAAGTTTCTTTTGCATCATAGTTTCGTCTTGGATCTACAGTCGATGGTCGATTCTTTAGTTTATGCCCATATCGTTCCGTTTTAGCATTATATTCAGTGTATTTTTGCGTTTGTTTTGTGAAGCTTTATGCAGAGTCGTTATATCTATCCACCATATGAACTCGGCGAATTGTCTCAGGTGAGTCTTATCTGTCGTTTATGCTTTGAGTTTCATAGAAAACTTGTTACCGTGTCTCTATCGGCAGACATTTGCGCGTTTAAGTGCTGTTTATGGTAGTACTTACATGCTCAACAAACCAGAGTGTAAGGTGAAGCATTTCGAAAACTCGAATTTCGAACTCAGTGGACATCATTCTTAACGTTGGCTACATGAACCGAGAACCGAGTTAAGCTCTTCGGGTTCTGCAGGTAGAATTCGATGCTGATGGGAAAGCTGTTGGTGTGACTTCTGAAGGATAAATTGCTAAGTGCAAGAAAGTTGTTTGTGATCCATCTTATTTGCCTGATAGGGTAACCTCTAATGAAACCCTGCCCTTTCTCTGTTTTTCTTTCATGGACAAGTATGCATCCTCGAATGTCGATCATGTCGCCTTTCTTCGTTCATTTGTTTTCCAATGCAACAGGTTAATAAGGTCGGGAAAGTTGCTCGTGCCATCTGTATAATGAGACACCCTATACCTGATACCAACGAATCACACTCGGCTCAGGTTATTCTGCCTCAGAAGCAAATCGGTCGTAAATCGGACATATGCTACTAACTTCCTCAGCCAATTTCTAGTCCTTTTGGTTATAAGTCCTCAAACAAGTGTTATAAGCCCGTGATCTCTGCTGGTACCTTTTCTTCTGCTCATATGCTCATAATGTAGCTCCTGAAGGAAAGTACATTGCTTTCGTCTCAGAAGAAGCCGAGATCGACAACCCCGAGGTGGAGTTGAAGCCCGGTGTCGACCTTCTGGGAACCGTCAATGAGATATTCTACAACACTTACAACAGATACGTTCCGACCAACTATCATTCAGCCGACAACTGCTTCATTTCTTCTGTAAGAAAACTTCTATATATAACTCTATTACACCATATGACATGCAAAAGAACCTTAGGACTACTCAATCTTATTGATTCCAAGTCTTGAAAATTTCTTGCAGAGTTATGACTCAACGACTCAC